TTAAAATTGTTTTTTATTATTATTTTGAATAATTTCTATAGCATTTAATAAAACTAAAGTTGTGGTTGAAACTCAATACTTATGAAAAACAATGTAGCTGTCCAGAAAATGTAAAATTTTTCTCTTTCATTGCATCCCCCCCTCCTCCTCCTCACAAAACCTTTTCATCTTCCAAAAGTTACGCCACATTACTACAGGGACTTCAAACCACAAGACACAAACCTCAAGGTGCAGAGTCCAAAAGCTCCCTTCCCACAGGCCCAACGAACCCGTATCAGCCATGTCGGCACATCTCTCCCTCACATCTACCCCACAGCCTGTAAATCACCAGAGCTCGCTCTCGGCCCCGTTAAATAAACGTGCTGGAGTCACTGACTAATTGATGGCGTTACGATCTGAACTGCTTCAGAGCTGCGCTAAATTGAAACCACCAGGGGAGGAAGCCAGCTGGACACTGGACGTAAGAAGAAGGCCCGAAGGAACAAAGGCAGAGCATCAGACGCATTGGGTGGAGACAAAGAAAGGAGAGGAAGAGAGGAAATACATCTTTTAAGAAGAAACAAGAAAGGAGAGTTTCCTGTGGTGCAGAGGAGAAAGTCAAAGATAAGAGTGGGAAGCATTGGGAAGATGTAAGAGGAAGAATAAAAAGTAGCTAAAGCTAAAATTTAAATGTGCATTCATGGGAGAATATCAAATATATTCATAATGAAATCAGAAACACTAACTCAGCATGTGTAAAATGACATGGGTTATAGACATTTCTGTGTTTGCTCAGGTCTATTAGCTGTGGTGGCGTCTTGAACTGTGTCGACTCAAAAGTAATTAAGTTGTAGCTGTAAATCCAATGACAATGACTGATAGTTTCATTAAAGTGCCCGTGACATCAAATTTTACATATAACAAAATAAATCTCACGCTGCTGAGATGAACAGTTGTTGAGATATTTGCATGTAAAGTAACAGGAAGTGATGTCATAGATGCATGTCTGCATGTGAACGGAGTGCTACAACAGCTAACAACCAAGACTGTAGAGAAGAATCTATTTTTTTTAGATTATTTTGAGTCAAAAAAGTTCCCCTTTGATGTCACTTCCTGTGTCATGTTGGCTGAGACAAATTCAAAAGAAAATATGCAATTTATGTGACAAAATTGGTAAAATCATTTGTAATATGTTAAATTACTTAAATATAAAGGTGTCTTCTTTTACGTTTTGTATTCAAAGAATATGCATGTCAGAGACACTTTAATATTCATCCACTAGTTGATGAAATATTGGACAAACAGAGGTAACTCTAACAGTTATTGTAACCTACCTCACCTAATTTCCCTCTGGGATCATTAAAGTATTTTTGAATTGAATTAAATTAAACTGAATTTAAAAAATAAAAATAAAAAATGGTGTGATATGCAGCACTCTGAGTACATATTTATCAGCAACTACACCATTTTTCAGCTCGATATCTGTAAAATAGAGAAACCTAAAGGAGACATTTGATGCTTTTAAATCCTTTATTTACATATTTTAATCACTAGGTTGGGGTTTATATAAAGCAGAACTTCAACGCTTTGGTCTGAAATAGAATAGAATAGAATAGAATAGAATAGAATAGAAACAGCCTTTATTGTTCCACGGTGAGGAAGTCCAGGTGTAACAGCAACAGCAGATACATAAATCAATCCACAAAACAAAAATTCCTCCTTATTGTAACTCCACAAGTCCATCTTTCACCTATTTTCTGAGGTGTGTCTCAATGCAACTCGTTTTGAGACTGTCTCTTTAAAGGACATGTGTTACGTCTAGGCATATATATTCGATTCTATTCAATAAGGTAACTATGTTACCTTCAGTTGATGTGAAAAATGCTGTATATATCAAAAATAAATTTGACTTTGCATCATGGTCTAAAGCACTTTGAAATTGGTCTTTTTCACTTTAAGAACCTCCTACCATTTCTTACACTCCCACTTCAGCACGTCTTCACAACAATGCTTTGGAGGAGGGGTTCCCTGTGGGGTGGAAGCTCAGCTGCAGACTGAGCTCCAGGGAGGAGCTTTGTACAAATGGGCAGGGCTTTGTAGCAGCATTTAGACAGCTCAATATGGTTACCACAGGAGATTCAAGAATTTCTCAAACATGCATGAATAAGTCAAAGCAACACTCTGGGTATGTTTTTGACCAGGGAACGACAATATATATGTAATATACACTATATAAAGCTCAAAAAATTAGATTTTTTTTGATCAAGGTCTTATTTTATTTTTTAAACAAACCACAAAAAAAAAAACAGACTTACAAAAACACAAAACAAAACACACACACCCAAAATCCCTCCCATCCCTCCCCTCCTATACCGGATCCACTGAAACAACMAAAATCGATCTTGTATTCATACAAATGATACAATGAGCAGGTTTGTGTATAATGAAACAATATTTAACCTTTACACAAAATTATCTGCTGAAATTTTTTCTACATAAGATATAAATGGCTGCCAGATATCAAATAATTTGTTTACAGATCCCCTAACAGTATATCTAATCTTCTCTAAATGAATGTGACATAACTTGTCTTAACCAATGACCATATACTGGAGGATGTGGATCCTTCCATCGAAGAAGAATAAGTCTTCTAGCCAGTAGAGAGCAGAAAGCTAACACCGTCCTCTGATGTTCACTGAGGGAAGCCTCTGCTGGAGCCACCCCAAAGAGAGAGATGAATGGTGATGGACGAACAGTTCGTCCAAATAGTCCTGAAAACGTGTCAAGGATGCCTTGCCAATATCCATGTAGTTTAGGACAGGACCAGAACGTGTGCAGAAGTGTGGCAGGAGATTGTTTACAACGATCACACGTCAGATCCAAGTCCTTTTAGAATTTGCACAATCTGTCCTTAGACCAGTGTAGACGATGTACTACCTTGAATTGGACTATAACATGTTTCACACATATTGAGGACGAATATATATTTTGAATAATTTTTTGCCAAACTGTGTCTGATATGGATTCCTCCAAGTCCATCTCCCACTTGCCCTTCAAAGAATCTAAATTGGAGTCAGAAAATGAGCTGAGCAGAGAATAAACTCTGCTCATAAAGCGTTTTGTTACAGACTTACACATCAGAATCTCATCTATAAGAGAAGTTGTGGGGCATAGAGGAAAACATCCTGAGTTTGACATTACAAAATGTCTCAGTTGTAAATACCTGAAGAACTGTGACTTATGGATGTCAAATWTCTGWRCTAACTGTTCAAATGAGGCGAACTTATTGTTTATATAAAGATCATTTAGAGAAGTTATTCCCTTTAAACTCCAAGTATTGAAAACAGAGTCCATTAGTGAAGCAGCAAACATACTGTATGGTTAAAAAAGTTGATTTTGCATAATAATCCCTCCTTAAATCAAAATGGAGAGTAGAATAAAGACCACATAATTTTATTTGGTAAGTCCAGACCTTATTAATCAGTTCCGTCCCAAATTCTGTGATGTAATAGTTCAGAAAACTGGGTTAACTCAAGTTCTTTTCACCACAATATACAGTCATTCTCATGGCTCTCATTATCTCATTTATTTTTACATCTTTTGAATATTGCTTTGACACAAACCTGAAAAAAAATTCTTTTCTAAGAGACATTATATCAGAACAGGGTGAATGCAACCACTGAGTATAGATTCTCATTACTGTAAAAACCTTTTATAGAAACAGTCACAGTCGGTTACGTTTAGCCACTCAACAACATGTTGTTTGGTTTTTGACAGAACAAAGTGTTTAAACAGTACATTCCAGACTCGTCACAGTTGCTGCAGTTATCATCCCAGCTGGGAGATCTACGTCAATCAGGACGAGCCTGAAGATCCTCCTAATCTGAACACACTCTTTGTTGTTGCACTGATTTGTCTCAGTCAGCAGAAATTCTGCAGTGAAACTAAGGGTTAATTAGGCAAGAAGAAAACACAGTTAAAAAAACATTTTGAAGATTTTTTTAAATTTTCAATGCTGGTACAGACATCAACCTCTGCTGATGATTTTGTAAAGTTAAATAAAGGTGTACTGATAGCTTTAAAATTATTTCACATACTTTTATTTTCATTTGCTACTAAAAGGGTACATGCATACAAATAATATTCATTCCTATGTCTCTATGTGTCTGTTAGTAAAATATCTCAGAAACCAGTGGACACATTTTTATCAAATTTGAAGAAAATAATCAGTGAATGTACGTCTACAAAAGATTAACTTTTGGATTCAACTCAAGTCCAGATGGCTGCCTCAGCTACTTAACGTCAGCAAACACAACTCAGTCAGCTTTGCAAACATCCAGCAAAAATTAGATGGACCCTCAACACTAATACTGAGCTCAATCATTGAGCGCTAACATGTTGAATTTTTGTACAAAAATTTTTTATGAACTATTTGGGGTCCACTGTGGCTGTTTATTAGCAAAATATCTTATGAACCACTTGATAGAGTTTAATGAAATTGTTAGAACATGATCACTGATAGCCAGAGGTGTCAAGTAACTAAGTACAAATACTTTGTTACTTTACTTAAGTAGAAATTTTGGTTATTTATACTTTAGTGGAGTAATTATTTTTCAGCCTGTCTTTTACTTCTACTCCTCATGTTTAAATCAGTTATCTGTACTTTCTACTCCTTACTTTTTAAAAATGCAAAAAGTATTTCATTTCTGTTTAACTTTGATTTGTTTTTATTCCATCTTTTCATTGTTCAGAAAAAAATTAAATAAATAAAAAATCTATCCAGATACATGCAACTCATGGACAGAGTGAATTTGATTGTGAATGGATGAGAAGTGTAAATATAAACCATTCTGACATCCTATTGGACTGAACTCACTGCATCACTCCTGTGTGACACAAATCACACTCCAGCAGGACAAACTGTAACAGATGCATGTAGCCTACACTGCAAAAAAATGAAATGTTGGATTTACTTACACATGTTATGTTACCTGGTTCCACTTAACTGAGTTGAGTAAATTCAAAGCAATATACCAGTTTTTTAGCCAAAGAACATGAGCATGTTGCTTTGAATTTACTTAACTCAGTTAAGTGGAACCAGGTAACATAACATGTGTAAGTAAATCCAACATTTCATTTTTAGAGTGTAGAATGAAGATGATCCTGGCTAAAGTTGTGCTTTCTGAAATTTTCAGCAACAAACTGATTTAGTTTCATGATAAATTAAATCTTTTTGAGATCAGTCCAACATGTTTTTTCCCAAA